TATGTATGTATGTATGTATGTATGTATGTATGTATGTAGGTATGTATGTATGTATGTATGTGTATGTATGTATGTAGTATGTATGTATGTATGTATGTATGTATGTATGTATGTATGTATGTATGTATGTATGATGTATGTATTTGATACTTCTTGTTAAACGTTTCGATTCTATCAGCGATGTCTAAGATTATGAAGCAATTGAAAGTTTCATTCGCGTTTGAACTTGAACACCTTGAGGAATGCCTGCACAGCAGCTGTATTTGCCGCGTATTTTTTTTCCTACCTTAACGACTCACTCTGAATAACTATCTGTCAAAATGGCAGAAGCAACTAGAGGACCAGACGCTTCACTAAGCTTTGTGCTCTCACTACAAATGTAAGGGTGGGAATGATGTATGTTCTCTGCTTTCTACTTCATAAAAAAAAACTCTACACAAGTGTACCGGCGGCATTGACATACCTTGTCGGAAAAGTTCACCCCTGATTATGAAACTCTTCCTGCGTTCCTTCATCGTTAATTCTAAAGTCTATCGGCCAACATCGAGATAAATAGCTGCAGCACCTTTTGCGTGTTGAAGCAGTGCAGGTACCAAAGCCAACGCAACCACGAACACTAGAATGCAAATGATGATAGCCAAGCAGGCGTAGACGATATAACCGTTACGGCTTGCAACAACGGTCGCATCATCGGACGTCGGCAGGTGATCTCCAAGCTCGGTTGTGCTGCGCTCGAAAAATTGTACTGATTAAGTGAGGCAGTCATCATTCTTCAAAGGCACTTGACGATCGCTTTTTCACAATCCATTTTTTTACAGCGGAACAGAATTATCACCCTCATAGTGTTTGTTGCTGCAGTGGTTGATGCAAGTGCACATGGTTATTTATAAACAGCTTTTTTTTCGACCTGAAAACTGTAAAATATTCATGAAGGCGTCCTTCATCAATACCGTGATGTGACTAGCGATGTCCACAGCCCGCCTCGCAAACTGTTATAACTCTAACAGTTCTGAGTTTGCAGGCGTGAATGAAACTATGTTTAATCATCTTCATTCGTTAATGGCAGTGCTTTCTTGCTGACTTTGAAGAATTGTGAATTTCCAGGCCGTGTGCTTTGTGTTAAAGTATTTGGCTCACGTGTTCTACGATGTTTTGACTACCGATCAGCAGCGTTTTGTAAACACGTTGAAAACATTTTGCAGGTTCTTTTCAGGTTGTAATGGCAGGAGCAGGGCATGTTGCACTAAGGCAAGATAACTACTGGTCATTAAAACTAACAGACTGGATTCCAAGAGAAAGTAAGCGTGCGAGGAGGAGGCGGCAGGTCAGGTGGGCAGATAAGATTAACAATTTTGTGATGAAAATGTAATGGCAGCGAGCACACAATCAAACTATTTTACAAAACATAGAAAAAGCTTTTGGTCCTGCTGTGAGTGTAGCCAGGCTATGATGATCACGATGCTGTGCAGACAAGGATTACAGACTAAGCGTATGCGCCTTAGAAATTTGTCTTGCCTTACTCTGAAAATTCAGGCTTAAAGCGGGGGCGTTAGGGTCTGGCCCCTTACCAGGGGTCGTGCCTCCTGTGTCAACGGAGATTTGAGCTTCTTCGTCAGTGCTGTCAACCTTTTTAACTTCATCTCCTGCTTTTCGGTTTCCTTCTTCTTCCTACTTTGCTTCTCTTCTTCTTTTCCTTCCCTATCCTTTTCACCGTTCGCTTCCTTACCTTCCTCCACAGGCTTTTTGCCCCCGTCCATGCGATGTTTCGTCTCCGCGTCTTCTTCGGCCTTCTTGCTAGCTTTATCTCTTTTTCCAGTCGCCTTGGAGGGCTTTTTCTGGCTATCCACACCCTCTGCTTGCGCCAGCATTGCTTGCAGAGCGGCCATCAAGTCAATTGGGCCTCCTTCCGCTGGTGCCTGAGGAGGTAAGATCGACTGAAAAGGGAGATGACATTCAGGCAAACCAGGGCCCAGAGCAGCGGGTGCCGGAGGAGAAGGAGCAGCTTGCTCAGGCGATCGCTGTCTAGAGCGCCGCGTTCGTGCCGGTGGTGGAGACAGCAGCAATCGAATCTGCTGCATCATCATAGTAATGGCAGCCGCGTCCACCAAAGGACTAAGTGGCGGCTCCTGCTGAGGAGGCAGCAGCGTAGTGTTGGTGGCAAGGCGCCGGGCAAGGGTAGGCTTGTTGGGCAGCAGAAGCTGGCGGGGACGTGCCTGCCAGGATAACTGGGCCCTGGCCACCGCCACCACCTGGCGATGGCAGAGGTAGGGGCATCGGCATCGGAAGCGGCATTGGTATGACGGTAGTCCTCGAACCGCCCCCGCCGGTACCTCCACCGATCGGCACTGTGACGATACGAGGCTGTGCGTTGGTTACTTGCGAAGTGGTAATAGGTGGAACTACAACCTTAACTGGATAACAATGCATGGAAACGCGGTCTAGTAAAAAAAAGCAGCAATGACGCCAAAATAATTTGGCTCGAGGTGATGGCTGATGTTCCTTCTGTTGTTTGCACATCAACTAAGACAACGTGCCCATATACAACCAACTACCACCTCGATTATGCCTGAGTACGAGCCAGCTCATACATTTACATAGGTAAAACAGCGCAAATGAAAACAGATAGAAATAGACACAGAACTAACATTATGTCCACTTGTTCATGCTTTATTTGAGGCAGTTTCACTTAACAATAACAACATGAATTCACATCATGACAGTCAGTCGACAAATACGACAACTTCACGTTGCAAGAGTTGTGTACCAACATGGTGTCTGACACCGTTTAGAGAAAGCTGGAGCGAGGTATAGAATTGTGTTTTCTTTTCGGCTGGCAACAATTTAGGCAGCGTTTGCACGGCTGTGGAGAGGAAGCTCGATGGTGAGAAACAAGGCACGGGTTTTTGCCAGGTCAAGGACAGGTGCAAACAAAGTCGATTGAGCCGTTGCTGTGGCGTACGACATTCCGCTTTCGTGTGTGAAGCGTTATGCTGAACAGAAATGGCGTTATATAAATAATAGGGTTTTGGATCACAAAGCTTCTCTGAAGTGACAGGCGAGCTGAAACATTCCTGTAGATTGTAGCGAATGTGGTTGCGCACCCTCGTTCAGCCACACTACAGTGAAATCTAAATTCAGGGTAGCGCGTGAAATTGAAGAAGCATATTTTATCAAAAAAGTCGGTGATTCATGTGCCGCGAAAACCTCTGTCACGTTATTGGCACTGGTGTAGCTTTTCTGGAAACGGGTCATTATACGATCTGCCTGCTCATGTAATAATTTATTCTACATGTATTCACGCAACTGGTTGCACATGTCTGTTTGTTCCAATCCATTCTCAGTTGTTTGTGTGCACTGTGTCCAGGTGTGTTCCTTTTGTGCCTCTATTTTTTGTGCACCACCATCGGGAGAGTGACATGGCTGTTACATCGTAAATTCATACTCTAACAAAGGGCCGCAACGTTTATGTTAGCTCAAGGCTCTTGGAGTTATGCAATAGTTATCAATCATGTTATATCAGAAGCAAACGCCCAAAGGGGAGACAGAAAGTCTGATGTGGCGATGATATTAAAAAGTTCGCAGCTATAACGAGGCGGCAGAAAGCACAAGACCATGTAGATTGGCGGATCATGGGAGGGGCCTTTGCCCTTCAGTGGGTGTAGTTTGGCTGATGATGATACAATGAGAAGAGAAAACCGAACAGACTGAAAATTGAAGGCAGGGTCGTGTGGGTTAAGAAGCGAAATTGGAGAGAATGGGTTCTTACCTGGTAATACGGAAGGCATCATAGGTGCTCCTGGTACCATGGAAATTCCTGGAGTAATGCCTGGGTAGGCAGCAGGCACCATACCGGGCACCATACCGGACATCATCGCAGGCATCATACCAGGCATCATTCTGGGCATCATGCCGGGCACCATACCAGGCATTCTACCAGGCATCATTCTAGGCATCATTCCCGGCATCATACCGGGCATCCTGTAAGGCATTCCCGGCCTATTTCTGCCGTCATGTCCTGGCCTCATCCAACTTAAGCCAGGTTCCATGTTCGCCCCATGCGGAAAACGTCTTTCCCTCGAAGAAGATGCGGCAGTCGTCCTCCTTACTGGATGTGGGTACCCTGCAGGCGTTTGACGTCGAGGTGTCATTTTCTGCCCAGGCCACCTGTACTCACTCGGTCCTCGCAGTGTGTCAGACATTTCGAAATCGGCACCATCAGTGACTCTGGTATCTGAAAAAAAAGGACACTTTCAAAAAAAGAAAAACAAAATTCAGAGACCTACGAATTTTGTAAAAATCATATCCGGGGAAGCTCTTAGTATGGTGGATTTACTATAGAGCATATTTTCTATATAGTATATTGCATGCCTCGTAAAATGGCAAAATCAATGATCGGCGTCATGCGTCAGCCGTATCAATATCAGTGATGAAAAACTAATAATCACGTGATGAAATTACCATATGACGTCATCATGACGTAACCCAATGAAATAAAGGGTATGCCAAAGATGGCCCAATCACTGAACCAGTGCGAAGGCCGATGAGATGTAGAAAGTTTTTGAGGGGGGCGAAGGAATATCAGGACATCAACTGACAAAAAGGAGAAAAAAAAATGAACGCTTGTCGCAGTTGAGTCATCTTCGGTGGATGGCTGAGGGACTCTGTGAATTTTACAGTTGGTGATTGAAATGTGAGATTAAAGAGACATGCATTCAAATATCCCGATGTCTCTTTCGCTCAACAAGCAGACGGTTTAGAAATAAATTGCTGTGGTACATAACAAACACCATTGTACTGGAAGTACAAATAAGGAAAGTCATTCGTTTCTTACGCATGAAAGTCTCGCAACTGAGGCCAAATTGCTCACGTCAGCTTGTCATGTACATACAACAAATCATACACTTTTACGCGACGCCCACGTTTTCGACGCGACAAGGCAGGACTAATCGAATTAATGCTGGTTAAGCGAAAATCGTTGTTCACTGCGTCCAGTGTCCGTGGACCCGATACCAGAAGTTAGAGATATACGAAAGCACGGTAAAGAGATGAGTTTGTAGTCACAGTGTGTCATGAATTAGCCTTGATGTAATGAGATAAAAATGTTGGCAGCAAGGGAAGAAAAAACACACGTGTCGGAAGGGCGAAAAAATAATCCACGTCTGATAGCGTGAAGTTATTTCAGATGCCATTACGGAGATGGTGAATGGTTAATTTGTTTGTACTTGTGCTCCTCGAATATTTTCCGCATTACTGCCATGTGTATGTACAGGTCACCAGGGTCTTTGTCAAGCCGTCCTCACGGCTTCTAGCCTTGGCAACCTTCCAGTTTTTTTGGTAAATAAAACTTTTAATTTAAATTGAATGGAAGTCTTGTGATGCGCACTAGAGATCACTAAAACAGGAAACCAACGCACTGAAGTTTTGGATAAGTTCTTGTATCATTGCATTGTAGCCTGCTGCTAATGAAGCTAGGACGTGAGAATTCAGTACTGAAATGCCCTGCACTGCGAATGCGCCGAACTTTTACTACGTTTGCGAAAGACTTCGAAAAGCATCATGGTTGCCAGAATTTTCTACAGGAAATTTTTTCATGAACACGCTACCATTGAGCGTCTTTTAACATAGTTACAGAAGACCGCACGTACAAATTCTATTTTTATATGGCTCAGCGCTCACGCTATTACCCATTTAGCATACTTCGCTAGTGGTGTATAACTTAGACGCTCTTTTAGAAAAGTTCAAAGTGCCAGCTCCTATGTGCATACTGCATATGAAATTAACCTGGCATGTGCCAACGTGAAGCACCAGACGCGAAATATACTTGCAGCTCTCTGTGAGTACAGTGTATAAAACGGCAGCCCAGCGAGGATAGCCACCGCAAGCATAGTCGGGGCATAAAACTTGATTGATTTATTGGACTTGGTTTGATATATTTATTTATCGTAATAAATGTGATAGCCAGAAGAGGAAAAAGCTGTTCAAAAATAATCTTAGAAAGTCTTTCATTCTTGTATATGCAAATGCGGCTTTAAAGGCGCAGTCATTTTGTTTACATTATCGTAAAATAAAACACTAGGCATAAGCTTTGACGAACCACTAAATGATTCAACTTGAAAATTTGACGCTGCAGCATATCACACTAATTCAAGACATTACGGAGAGTGATGTGTTCTACGGATGGCATGATGTCAGTGCTAATATTTACTTGCTTAAAATTGAAAACTTAGCATATACCACCATAAGAAGACCCTTTATAAAATATGTAAAATAGCGTTGGACTCTCCACGGCAATGAATCGACACAAATATAATCAAGTCCGACGTCTAGCAGCTAGATTCATATTTAACCGATATCGTCGCGGTCACTTCCCTAATGAACTTTGCCGAAACGCAAATCTTCCTGCTTTAGAATTAAATACAGCAGTAGAAAAATTATTATGTCAATTATAGGCTTAAAATCCACGTTTGAGGCACAGGTATAGTATATGTTTACTGACCTCCATTGACGCGAATAGACTATAATAGTATAGCTATTTCCCACGAGTAATTAATGAGTATACCATGATGGCCGATTCACTGGTTTCCTCTACTTCTCTCACTGCATTCTTAAACTAGCTCCATACTCTTGACTATTCGGATCATTGGGTATTTTTAAAATATAAACGCTAATAATTAAGGTCACGCTGTGGATGCGAAGAGTGCGTTTGTGCAGTTTTTTTCTATTTTACTTTATTATATTTTTGAAGTAAGCAGTGCCCTTTAAAACATAGTTTATACTCATGTCACGTGAATGTTTCTTGCTGAGCTGTATTTGAGTGTTAACTCCTTCTTTGAATGATCCTTTTAAGGGTTAACAATACAAACAAAGAAACGAACGAACAACAAGTATACCGGCCAACGGTGATAAAGTCCCATGCTGCTCATAACGTCCGAACATTGGAGCTCTCCACCATGGTTCGGGTCCCGTTCCTGTCATGCAGGGTACCGAAGGGGACGCCCAGGGTGCAGCTGCGCTGGAGAAAGACCCACTCGGCCGAGCGTTTAGTTCAGGAGCGGATACTGATAATCTCGCCTCGCCCTTTTCTGCCGCCCTCCGCTTCATTTTTTTTTATTTGCCACCAATTCTGGAGACAACTGCGATGTAGAAAAAAGCAACGGTGTGCAATTCACTTGCCTCAGGATTGTGTTCAATATTTGCCTTTAGGCAATTATTGAACAACAATTATGTAAGCTAGTGCCTGTGTCTTACGTTCGCAATCTGCGCATTCGTGACCTTATTTTTATTTCCTGAACGAAAACGTTCTGTTCAGCCTAGCAGGAATTGCCAGCGATGAGAGCTTTCAGTATGGTCGCCGAATAACCGCAAGGAGTCATCTTGATTTGCGAAAGTCAGACATTCAATAACATTTGTTGTTAACCTACCTTATTCAAGCTGAGAGAGCGTGGCGGGAACATGGGGTAGGAAAAGGGTGGAGGTTAGTCCCCCCTCTCCTAACCACCGAAAGGGGACGCCAACAACCCGTTACGTTTTTTTTCGTCATACCTGTACCATCACGTGCTTCAATCAAGGGTTAACGGCATGTAGTGTTTTCAATATATGACAGCGGCCGAGATAACTTTATTGGCATTTCATAAGCTGGTTACTTTCCGCCTATTCTCACCAAAATCCGGGAACTTATGGTATGCCTTTCAGACGCACATAGTCACTTTATTTTCATTTTTGCCTCCATGGCAAGGCCTGTTTATCTTGAGCTCGGTCAGTATGGCACGAAGGCGGCGGCCTTGCGCTGAAGCTCGGTAATTGATAATCCGTGCGCGCGTCTACGAGAGGAAGCATACAAACAGGTAATGGGTTGCTAGGCCGTCATTACAAGGTTCACCTAAAATATATTTTTTCGTGTTAGTACCCTGCAAGGCAACAAAGAAAGCGGCTGGCTACGCAAATTATTGGGTTGTGAGTTTTGTCTTTTATTATTACTGCGTTGATGTTTTGCTAACGGGATATCAGCGTCCCCACACAACTACGTACTATCAAAATGAACTAAGAAAAGTCAGACATACCATCTATCTCGCGTACGAAGGTTGAGCTTTTGGAAGCGAAGGCAGCTCCATGATTTGTGCAAGAATATGGTGATAGTCAAGGAAATAAATTCACACAAATAAGTTGAAACAGTTCTGCTAGGTAAAGGAACTTCTAACAAAGCCACTCACCACAAGCGGAAAGCCCAGCTCTGCAGGACGTGTTTTCCAGAGAAGCAGGGAAATATTTCACAACACTTGCCAACCCGAGATGCTTCTTCTTTTCCGAGAGAGGTTTACTTGCTTGCTTGTAGCTTGATTTGTGGCTTCTACCCACTACGAGGGAGCGGCCATGAAACCGGTGGTTAGCTTACAACAAAGTTTGAGCATTCGAAAACAGATAAAAATGAAATCAATCGCAACAAGAATAAACAAGACCTTAAAAATGAACGTACTATATAGAGTATTACAGTAACCCTACAGGTATGCAGGAAATTTATGTTCACAGAGAATTCTTCTAAAATTCACAAGAAATTTGCGTATGGCTAAGCAGACATTCCTGTTCTGGAAACCCGTAGAAAACACGCCAAAGGAAAGAATGTTTTCGAAATTCAGAGCAATTTTAAGCTTCTGAATACGTTTTTAAAATGATTTTCGCAATGGCGAGTAAGCAAAATATGCATCAATATTTTCAGGCTCTTGACAGTAATAGCATATAGAAGGCCAGAGCACACATCTATAAAAAATTAGAAGTGGGTATACGGCATCAAAATTTTGTAAAAGCTACTTCTAATTTTCGAGGTTAATGTTCTTGTTCTCTTTCTGCTGAGGCTCACACCCACTGTGGGGGTTGGCAATAATTGAGTTGTCATATAAAATGTTGTTAAATTTTATAATAATGGAGGTTATGCTGTTTGCTTGGTGTTCTTTCATGAATGACTGATACCCACTATGAAGAACTCTGCGAAAATCGAGCGAGTACGTGTAGTAACGTATTAGGAACAATGTTGATTGTTCGATCACCGGACGTAAGACAGGCAAGTGTACTGTGCTCATGAATTGAAACACTAAAAGCAGCTAACTCTTATCAGCCATTGTTAAGTACACTCACGACATATAATTGCTTAATTACACGTTTCTAAGCATGTAGCAGTCGCTACTACGTCACATAGCCTGAATCAACCATTGTTAAATATATCGGTGAAAGCGTAAA